CGTGTTCATTACATTTCTGCATAATCAACTCTAGATATTTTCGTCGGAGAAGGTCTGCCGCCGCTGTGGTACCGATCGAGAATCACATTGCATTAGTTTTGATGTTTTGCAACTTTCTCATCATTCACACACAAACGCACTCGCACTTACGCACACACACATATATCTATGTAATGACCGCTTTTGGTAGTGGCACAGTGTTCAACTGCGCTGTAATCTTTAAACGCGGCTTCAACGAATTTACCACATAAACCGTATTCATAAAATTTATTTTCGTATCCAATTTTCGCCTTCGTTCCACTATATCGAGAAACTAAAATATTGTAAGTAAGAAAAGTGCGCCAAGGAAAAGAAACTACCAACATTATAGGTCATAAGCGAATTGTTCTGGAGCTTGGGGTTCTTCGTTTTCGGCCTTCGTGGGCAGCGGTTGGGTTCCAGGAGTCATCTTGAGGATGTGAACTTTGTTTGGAAATTCCTATGCATGGTGGAAGCAGCTCTCTTCTTTGTGCATTCTCAGAGAAAAGGGACGAGCAGTCTGCGCCAGTGCTCAGAGCAGATAGAGTTCGCATGAGGTTTGGAGGGGAAGGGAGGGACGCCTTGACGACTGTTCTGAGCTTGGGTATTTTATCTGAAATAATTGACTCCCCCATTTGTTTATATGAATAGCTCAGTTTGTCTTATGATGATTTATATTACAGTTAACGTGTTTTATGTTACCAAGAAAACAAATAAATTTTGTTTTTATGGTGTAATCATTTGATATCGGTGGAAGAGGCGAAGACCCTGAGATCGTCAGCATTATAGCAGTTTCCAGAAGGTTCTTTCTTCCTTTACTCCTAAGTGATATGTACGAGTAATTCCTGGGTGGTGGCAGCTACCAGAAATTAAGGATTAATTTCATTAGTTTCGTCTGTGATCTGCAAGAAAGTTAAGTTAGATTAAATTAGCACACACACACACACACACACACACACACACACACACACACACACACGAGGGAAGAAGATTAATATAAATTTGATAACTAATGTTGCCGAGGTTGACAACACACTAAGATGCTGAGCTTCTTCCCTCTAATTTCAGCGAAAAAATTCTTCGAGCGTTTCGGATGAACTTAACCCATCATCAGTGAATCAAAACTAAAAAAAACGTTATTCATTTACTAGTAACAAAATAATAAAATCAATGCAATGTGACAATAAAATGGTAACTATTTTACAGCTAAATTTTAAAAATTAAGTCAGTAAATTTTCTCATTTCACCATGTGATAACCAATATTGATTATTGTAATACACTTTTCTATTAACAATAGCTTAAATAACAAACAGAATACATGGAAATTGAGAGATTAATTGAGAAAACAAGTGAATAGAAATAAAATGTTTAATTTAGAAATGTGAGTTACATAAGAAATGTATGGCATCTATAACTCTAGTTGGGAGTAAATGTTGTATGGTTAAAATTATCGCACATGAATTATAAATCACAAAAACTTATAAGCCAAACAAAGACGAAAAAATGATTTTCACAGAGGGTCTTCCCTGAGGGAGCCAGCTACATGTAATTTGACATTAATCTGAGATCATTGGTTTGGACATACAATCATTTTTCTCATAGTATGTAAGTTTGAGTTATCAGAAAAGGGTGTAGCTAGGAGACCCAGTGTCCGGGTGCATGAAAACAAATATAAAACATTTAACATCTATTTCTGTTACTTCTTCGTTTGATGAGACACTCTTGATAAGTATGGAATTTCACAATTTAATTTAATTTCCTCCTTGAGTTGATGTAGGTGCTCTACAATGGACTGATTATCTGATGGCAGCTATGATCAAGACCTCACAACGCCAACGCTAATCGCCTACTACTAAGCTATATACCGACAAGCTACTCCTGTCCAAGTGCCTCCTCGCCTCCCATAACATCCGGCTATCGCCACCAAGTCAGGTCACCTGCCTTTCCAAGTCTTTGCAAACCTTTGTCAACACAGCCATGAAGTCGCATTTCTACCTACCATCATTAATACTTCCTCGCCACTATTAAAGGTGCGTGTGTATGTATATATATATATATATATGCGTAAACACACACACACATATATATATGTATATATATGTGTGTGCTTGCTGTCGTCACGTCATTCCACGACAACATGCGCAGCACAGTGTGCTTCAACGGTGCCACGTCCGAGGCCTTTCCTGTCAGCAGTGGTGTTAACCAGGGTTGTGTCCTTGCGCCGACGCTCTTTGGCATCTTCTTCTCCATGCTCCTTCAGTATGCCTTCAAGGACTGCAGCGAAGGGGTGTACATCCACACCAGAGCCGATGGCAAGCTCTTCAACATCGCCCGTCTCCGTGCCAAGACCAAAGTGAAAGAGGTGTTCATGATGCAGCCCTACCCTCGCAGACAGAAGACGGACTGCATCAACTTGTCAGTCGATTCTCCGCCGCCTGCAAGGAGTTTCGGCTCACCATCAGCCTAAAGAAGATGAGCGTC